GAAATCAGAAAATACTTTGAGATAAATGAAAATGACATAACATACCAAAGCTTATATCATATCAAAGCCATGCTTAGAGGGGAATTTATAACTATGCATGCCTATGTAAAGAAAAAAGATCCAAAATCAATAACCTAACTTTCCACCGTAAGATACTAGAAAAAAAGAGCAAATTAAACTCTGGAGTCCTGATAAGTAAGCAACGATGAAAAGGGATCCAAGGTGGGGGGAGAACAACTGTTCCAAGAGACAGCTAATCATAGAAAACTCTAATCACAGACAATTTGCTTGCACAACATCCTGTTCCCAAATACCTGGCTCTGTACACAGCCCCAGCAGCATGACTTCGTTCCACATGGCCCACTCCACACATGACCCTATAAAACTCCCCTCCAGCACCTGCCTATTGGCAGACAGCCCCTTCTCTGCTGTGCTACTTGTTGCACCCCTGCAACATATCTCCATACTTTCTCTAATAAATCTGCCTTTCTTTACTACAACTATCTTGGTAAATTCTTTTACCACCTACATGCTGGCCCCAATCAGTTGTACCTGCAATATAAACCTAAACCAATTAGAAGGAAACAAATGATTAGAGTGTTTATTAATGAAATAGAGAATAGAAAAACAATAGAGAAGATCAATGAAACTAAAAACTCATTCTTTGGAAAGTCAACAAAATTGACAAATCTTTAGCTAGTGTGGCCTAGAAAAAAAGAGAAGACTCACATTACCAGAATCAGAAATGAAAGAGGGGACATTATTACTAACCTTCCAAAAATGTAAAGGATAAACTACGACCAACTATATACCAACAAATTAAATAACTCAGATAAAATAGACACACTCCTAGAAAGATGCAAACTACCAAAATGACTCAAGAAGAAACAATCTAAGTGAAGAGTAATAAAAAACCAAGCCACAAAAAAAAGTCCAGGCCTAAATGTCTTCACTGCTGAATCCTACCAAACATTCAAAGCATGAATACCAACTCTTCATAAATTCACCCAAAAAACAAAAGAGGAGGGAACATTTCCCAACTCATTTTATGACACCAGTATTAGGCTATTACCAAAACCAGAAAAAAAAAAAAAAAAATCACAAGAAAACAACAGATCAATAACTCCCATGCACAAGGACATAAAAATCCACAACAATATACTAAAAAACAAATCTGGCAACATATACAAAGAATTATACACCATTACCAAGTGGGATTTAGCCATGGATGCAAGTTGATTCACCACCTGAAAATCAACTAATATAATACAGCATATTAACGGAATTTTAAAAATCACATGACCATCTCAACAGATGCAGAAAAAAACATGACAAAACTCAAGAACTCTTTTAGAATAAACACACTCAAAAACTAGAAACAGAAGGGAACTTCCTTAACATGATAAAGGGCATCTATAAAAAACCCACAGCTAACTTAATGATACTTAATAATGAAAACCTAGATGCTTTCCCCCGAAGATGTCCAATCTCAGACCTCCTATTCATCATTGTCCTGGAGGGTCTAGCCAAGGGAATTAGGCAAGAAAAGAAATAAAAGGCATCCAGATTGGAAAGGAAGAAGTAAAACTATCTCTATTTGCAAATGACACAATCTTGTATATAGAACATCTAAAGGAATACACCAAAAAAGTATTAGAACTAATAATTTCAGCAAGGCTACAAGATACAAAATCAGCATTCAAAAGTCATTGTATTCCTATACAGTTGCAAAGAACAGCACGCAAATGGAATTAAGAAAACAATTATATTCCTAATAGCATCAAAAATAATAAAATGCTTAGGAATAAATTTAAGAGAAATATAAAACTTATATGCTGAAAACTATAAAACATTGTTTAAAGAAATTAAAGATCTAAAATAGGAATACATTCCATGCTCATGAATGCTAGACTTAATATTGTTAGGATGATAATGTTCCCCAAACTGATCTACAGAAATGCAGAATCTTTATCTTTGTAGAAACTAACAAGTTAATTCTAAAATTTATATGGAATTGCAAGAAATCCAGAATAGCCAAAGCAATCCTGAGAAAGAGGAATAAGTGGGAGCCATCAATCTTCCTGATTTGATTTCAAAACTTATTACAAAGCAAGGGTAATCAAGACAGTGTGAAACTAGCACAGGACAGACATATAGATCAATAGAATAAAACTGATGGTAGAGAAATAAACCAAATACATTTATAGTCAGTTGATTTTTGACAAGAATGCCAAGACCATTCAAAGCAGAAAGAATACTAAGAATACTCTTTTCAAATGGTGCTGAGAAACTGAATAGCCACATACAAAACAATGAAATTTGATCCTTACCTCACACTGCATATAAAAAATAATTCAAAATTGATCAAAGACTTAAATTTAAAAACAAAAGTATAAAATGTTTAGAAGAAAGTATAGGCCATATCTTTATAACCTAGGATTTTGTAAAGCTTTCTTAGATATAAAACCAAAAACATGAACAAAAAAGAAAAAAAATTGAAAAATTGCACTTCTCCAAAATTAAAACTTTTATACTTCAAAGAACAACATCAAGAAAATGAAAAGACAGTCCACAGCAAACTATTAAATATGTGCAAATCACATATCTAACTAGGGATTTGTATCTAAAATATGTAAAGAACTCTTTTTTTTTTCTTCTTTTTTTTTTTTTTTTTTTTTTTTTTTTTTTTTTTTTTTTTTTTTTTTTTTTTTTTTTTTTTTTTTTTTTCTCTGGCTGGAGTGCAATGGCGCGATCTCAGCTCACCGCAACCTCCGCTTCCTGGGTTCAGGCAATTCTCCTGCCTCAGCCTCCTGAGTAGCTGGGATTACAGGCACGTGCCACCATGCCCAGCTGATTTTTTGTACTTTTAGTAGAGACGGGGTTTCACCATGTTGACCAGGATGGTCTCGATCTCTTGACCTTGTGATCCACCCGCCTCGGCCTCCCAAAGTGCTGGGATTACAGGCGTGAGCCACCGCGCCCGGCTGTAAAGAACTCTTTACAGAACAATGATTTAAAAAAAATTTTAAATGGACAAAGGACCTGAATAGTCATTTCTCTAAAGACGCACAAATGGCCAATAAAGCACAGGAAAAGATGCTCTCTCCACCATTACTCATGAGAAAAATGCAAATTAAAGCCATAATGAGATACTTCAGACCCATCAAGATGGCTAGAATCAGAGTCAAATAACAAATGTTGATGAGGATGTAGGGGAATCAGAACCCTAATACACTACTGTTAAGAATGTAAACTGGTGCAGTTGCTTTGGAAAATAGTTTCGCAGTTCCTCAAATGATTAAACATAGAGTTATGATATATGTTACTCCTAGGTATATACACCCAAGAGAAATGAAAACATGCATTCACACTGAAACCTATACATTAATGTTTATTACAGCATTATCCATAATGGCCAAAAGGTCTTTCTGATCTACTAACTCAGTTACCATTTGCTTACTCACGGTATGGCCTAAATGTATGTGTCACTTCAAAACTCCTATGTTGAAATCTAACCACAGTGGTAACAATTAAGAGGTAGGGCCTTTATAAAGTAAATAGACACTGAGGGCAGAGCCCTAAAAAGGAACAGGTTCTTACCAGACACCAAATCTGCTGGTGCTTTAATCATAGTTCTCCAGAACCATGAGCAATAAATTTCTGTTATTTATAAATTAGAGTCTAAGATATTTTGTTATAGTAACCCAAACAGACTAAACAACTCACTTTCCAATGTCCACATGTTTATTATTTTATTTTTTCCCCATTCTCCCTATCTTTATGGATGTATACCTTTAAAACATTTCCATTACCAATTTTCTTTTTGTGGAGTTTTGGGGAATAATAAAATTATATGCATGGATTTATTCTCCCATCTTCGGATAGAAGCTGTCTAGCAGAAATGTTTGTATATAGCTGGAACTTACATAAAGTTCATCTTGGCCTTCTGTTCATAGAATTTTGACCAGTCTGACATGACCTCTAATTGATTCATGTCAGAATAATCAGTTTCTTCTGGACGAGAAAGCATATCTGGAGAAGGAAACGCTTTCATTGATAGAAAATAAGAGCCTTAGAAAATTATTTTAATAATTTACTTGAAAGATAAAGTAGAAAACAAATAGCTAAACTATGTACTTTTTTTTTTTTTGGACGGAGTTTCGCTCTTGTTACCCAGGCTGGAGTGCAATGGTGCGATCTCGGCTCACTGCAACCTCCGCCTCCTGGGTTCAGGCAATTCTCCTGCCTCAGCCTCCTGAGTAGCTGGGATTACAGGCACGCGCCACCATGCCCAGCTAATTTTTTGTATTTTTAGTAGACACGGGGTTTCACCGTGTTGACCAGGATGGTCTCGATCTCTTGACCTCGTGATCCACCCGCCTCGGCCTCCCAAAGTGCTGGGATTACAGGCTTGAGCCACCGCGCCCGGCCATATTATTTTATTTAATATATGTTGACTGGCAACGTAGTGCTAAGCTAAGTTATGCATAACCAACAGAGTTGTGAGCTAAATTAACAGCTGCTGCATTTAGCCACCATGTTTTGGAGTGTTTGTCACTTAGCAAAACATTCGTATGACTTTTTTTTTTCCAAAATGTTTTAGTTTATTCTATAATGATAGAGACAAAATAAAAACGGGGTCTATTACATGTTTAGTGAATTATTAAAAATTAAGTTTACTGTATTATTTTCACTTTTGGTATATGTTCTTGCTAAATTAACATATACTGAAAGGTGTGTTTTGTCTTAATTTTTGTCAGAGTTTAGCGAAGCTGTGCATGAAAAGTAGATAATCAAATACCTGTCAATATGCTTCCCAGTCAACAGAACCCATACTTATAGCATTCTTACAGCCTATATGGATTTAGAATTAGAGTCACACCTGCCAGGATCTATTATTTCCAAATATGTGTACCCAAAATACATTTAAATTCACATACTATTAATTCTTCACTACTTTTTATGAACCCTTCAAAACGTAAAAGAAAACTTTAAAGTACCTTTGATCTTGCTTCGTAGATATTTTAGGACTTCTTGTGTTCCTTTCTAAAAGGGTGGAGACAAAGACATTCACCAAGACATACCTTGCAGTTTTATAGATCAACATATATGTCTACATTTCAATTTAAAAACAAAGAGCTGAATTCCAAATACACTTACATTTATAATTTCTCTTCGAATTGTTCTCAGAGGATTTCCTTCTAATGCCAAAAATTTCAAACGAAGGTTCCCCAATGAATAGGGCAGACTATAAAAGATTAAATTTATTTTAGGGAAGGCATCAAATATAAGTATTCTCCAACCAGAGTTGTCTAGAAAACAACATATGGCAAACAACATATCCCAGAACAGTCTCAAAGAAAGGCCAACTAATGCAGGCCTAAAACATTTCCCTTTAAGATAAATGCTAAACATATAAAAGAAAAATCAGATTTGTCTTCAAAATTGTCACATTGAGATTAAAAATGAATTTGAGCTATAAAATATTTGTTAAATTGTAACATTTGCTAAAAAAGTAAATGTTAAACATAAATTTGAATGAAGCACTGTTTCAAGATAGCCATCCTCACGGATGCTAAATGTTTTAATTTTACACTTCGAGCAAGGAAACAAAATTCTAGTTGAAAAATGATGACAAATAGAGAGAAAAAGATAATTTTTGTATGCCCAATTCATGTTTCCTTTCAGTAAGAAAAGTCATTTTCATCTTTGGCACATTAAAAAAACCATTTATACCCAAAAATTCAATATCAATAAAACCTATTAAGCATCTGCAAAATATAGGGCACTAGTATAGAGATATCGAGATGCTTGTTCTCAAATCGTCAGTTGAACAAAGGAAAAAAAACCACAAACAGCTAACTAAAATGCAGTAAGTATTATCTTACAATGCTGGTGAGAATATAAAATAGTACTGCCACTTTCAAAACTGGAGTCTTTTAAACATATGGTCACCATACAACTAGGCAACCCCACTGCTACACCTTTACCCAAGAGAAATGAAAATAATGTCCACACAGAAACTTGCACACAAATGTTTATAACAGCAAAAAATCAAAGACAACTCAAATGTCCATTAACTAACAAAAGACATGTGAATTGTGGTATATCTCTATAATGGAATAACACTCAGCAATACAACCACACGAATGAATCACAAAAAAAACTTTGTTATATGAAAGATGCCAGACACAAAAACTACATTCTTTGTAATTCCATTTATGTGACATTCTAAAAAGGACAAAACTATAGTACCAGAGCACATCAGTGGTTGCCAGGCGTTGGGGTATGGAAAGGGGATTGACTGCAAAAGGTATGAGGAAGGTTTTTATGGAGACAGAAATGGCTGTGATCATGGTGATACAAATATATATCTTTTTTTTTTTTTTTTTTTTTTTTTTTTTCGTTTTTTTTTTTTTTTTTTTTTTTTTTTTTTTTTTTTTGAGACGGAGTTTCACTCTTGTTACCCAGGCTGGAGTGCAATGGTGCGATCTCGGCTCACCGCAACCTCCGCCTCCTGGGTTCAGGCAATTCTCCTGCCTCAGCCTCCTGAGTAGCCGGGATTACAGGCACACGCCACCATGCCCAGCTGATTTTTTGTATTTTTAGTAGAGACGGGGTTTCACCATGTTGACCAGGATGGTCTCGATCTCTTGACCTCGTGATCCACCCGCCTCGGCCTCCCAAAGTGCTGGGATTACAGACAAATATATATCTTTGCCAAAAATCACCAAATTGTATGCTTGATTGGTAAATTTCATTGTATATTAAGCTACATATTAACAAATGAATATGATATCAAAAAAATATATAATAAGACAAATGCTAAACAAGTCAAGTTGTTATGAGAACAGAGATATAGACACTGGTGGGGCTTTAAGGGGGAGAAGGGAGTTGCCAGATTTGGGCTTAAAATGAAAAATGAAATAGTATTAGAAAAAAAAAAGCATTCTAGGATAAAGGAATGAAACAAAGAAAGGGTTGGTATATTTATAGCCCAATGTAGTCAGAGAGTAAGACACCTGTATGAGTAAAAAGTAACAAATGATGAATTAAGTCTGAATGTGAGACATCCTTGAATGTTAGGCTAAAGACTAGGGTTTAATCTTACAATATGGTGGTTCCCAATTAATTGCTGGTTGGAAGACCATAAGCATCAAATTCTAGGAACTTTTTAAAAATAAAACAAAGAACAAAAATTTTAGGGTCCCATCATCAGAGATTTGGATTCATTAGTGCCCCAGAATCTGTATTTTTTTCTTGATGTTTCTCAAATGATTCTGATACATAGTCATATTTAGGAAACAGTGCTATGGCAATGAAGAATCATCAATGCTTTTAAAGTAAATACATTCCAGCGTTCTTAGAATTTAATTATAGGGGTTAACTAGAACAAAATTATACTCTAGTTAGAGTAATAATACTAATAATAATCCAGTTGGAGTAAGTCGTAAATATGTCTGCTTCTATTATCATACCAAGCTTGCTGTTAAAGATAAAACCTAATTAACCTTTCTTTATCTGCACATAATTCCTGCTCAATCAACATTTAGTGAATTCAATTTAGAAAAAAGGACCCTCATGGGTTTTTTTAAACAAATAGTTCAAATTATGAATTATAACCAATAACAAACACAATTTCTATTCATTTGATATTTAAACTTACCTACTAATATCATTGTTGCTTAGGTCAAGCCTTTCCAAGGAATGTAGTAGTATTATTTCATCTGGAACAGATTTTAACTTGTTATCCCTCAGGTCTAGCACGAGAATTGAATTCAGATGCTTAAGATGTTCTGCCTCTAACATTTCAATCTGGTTTTCACCTATGTGCAATTCCTACAAAATCAAAGATGATTATGTGTATCTCTGTATTCAATTTTATAGTAGGTAATGAAAATAAAATTGTAGGTACTCAATTTCAAGTGATTATAAATACACAGAAAAAAATGCAGCTTTATAAATATCAAGATGTTTAAATTTTCAATTACATTTAAGCTATCTTTCAGCTAAAGAATGACAAATGAGAAAATTTTCTGGCAATTTAAAAATAATTAAAGGTTGAATCTGGCAGAAACATCAAGTTTGTAAAACCAAAGTAGAGAAATAATTTAGTAGTCATGTTTAAAGAATTAATTAAAATATAAATCCAAAAAGTATATTAATGAAAAATTACTTTCAAAACAAAGGAATATCAGTTTCTTAAAAAGTTATTTATATTATACAGTTGGTCCTTGAACAACAAGGGTTTAAACTGTGAGGGTCTGCTTTTATGTAAAATTTTTTCAGAAAATATACTGAAATTTTTTTTGGAGATTAGTGACAATTTGAAAAAAATTACAAATCAATTGTGTAACCTAAAAATATTTTTAAAATAAAGAAAAAGTTACATATGTCATGAAGGCATTTAATGTATGTAAATATTAGTTTATTATTGACTACCATAAAATATATACAAATCTATTATAAAAAGTTAAAATTTCTCAAAACTTACATACAACTTACAGAGAAATGTAAACAAATGTGAAGATGTAGTATTAAATTATAACTACATAAAATTAGGCCAGGTGTGGTAGCTTATGCCTGTAATCCTAACACTTTGGGAGGCCAAGGCGGGCAGATCACCTGAGGTCAGAAGTTCCAAACCAGCCTGGCCAAGATGGCGAAACCTTGTCTCTACTAAAAATACAGAAACTAGTCAGGCGTAGTGGTGAGGGCCTGTAAACCCAGTTACTTGGTAGGCTGAGGCAGGAGAATCACCTGAACCCTGTGAGGTGGAGGTTGCAGTGAGCTGAGATTGTGCCACTGCACTCCAGCCTGGATGACAGAGCAAGACTCTGCCTCTAAATAAATAAATAAATAAATAAATAAATTAAATAAATAAATAAATAAATCAGAGACTCTGCCTCAAAAAAAGAAAAATCATACCTACATAAAATTAACTATAGTACATATTGTACTACTATAATAATTCTGTTGCCACTTCTTCTTGGTACTGTGGTGAGCCTATGGTGCGAATATCCTACTTAAAACCTGTATGAAGCTAATGTGAGCAGTTCACCTCTCCAGTAAATTGCATGTCACAGTAAAAAATGATGTCTTGCAGTTCTCACATGTTTCTCACAGTGTTTAGTGCAAAACCATAAATTTCAAATAACATTATGGGACTCATATGAAGTGCCACTAGTGATGCTGGAAGTTCTTCCAAGAAGCAGAGAAAAATCATGACATTACAAGAAAAGTCAAATTGCTTGACATATACCATAGATTGAAGTTGCTCACCACTTCAGACAAATGATTCATCTTGTAAGCAGATGATGTAAACTTATGGTATCAATACAGTATGGTACTATAACACAGTTGATCCCTGAACAACATGGGTTTGAACTGTGCAGGTGCACTTATACGTGGATTTCCTTCCACCTCTGCCATCTCTGAGACAGCAAGACCAACCCTTCTCTTCTTCCTCCTCCTCCTCCGCCTACTCAACATGAGGACAATAAGGATGAAGGCCTTTATGATGACTGACTTCCATTTAATTAATAGTAATATATTTTTCCTTCCTTATGATTTTTCTTAATAAAATTATTTTCTCTAGCTTACTTTAAGAATATAGTACATAATACATATGACATACAAATTATATGTTAATCAATTATTTATGTTATTGGTAAGGTCACATGAGACTACTGCTAGTTAAGTTTTCAGGAAGTCAAAAGCTACACACAGATTTTCAACTCCATGGGGGTCAGTGCCCATAACCCTTGCATTGTTCAAGGATCAACTGCAATCAGTTTGTTATTTAACATTTTCATTAGTGATGATTTTATATAATGATTTGCCATTAACAGAAACTATAATTATCAGATGGAAAATTATTCTTATTAAAGGTAAACTTTCAGTTTATTTTATATGTCATCATTCCGTTTAAATAAACTCTTTTTACACTAATGCTTAAAGGTATGTATATATATAAAAAAAGCAAACCATGACAAATTTAGAAGACAGTATTAATTCTACATACTTAAAGCCAAAATAGTGGAATTCATTTCAAACACACTTGATTATGATTAGGTAAAGGTGAGAGGTAGCAATTTATAAAATTAGGTACCTAATCCTGGTTTGTATTCCAGGTCTCCTACAGTACGGCCCCAACTTACCATTTTAGCCTCTTTATCTACTACTTCTCCAGTTATAAACTACTCATCAGATGAAATGGACAAATCCCTATTTTTTAAATTATTTCTTTAAAAATAATATTACTAAAAATGCCACTAATGTAAGTAGTCATATTAAAATCCTGAAAAGTATTAACATAGGAAAAACACAGTACTTATAACTAATACATATTCCTGATGTAAAACAAGATTAGCTCCTTTAAAAATGCATTTTAATAATTAACTTTAGGAAAACATACAGTTACTTAATAATCAACTAAATAGTACCTTCAATAGACTACAAGAAGGAAATTCTGGTAGAAAACGTAATTTATTCCTCCGCAAATAAAGCATTTCTAGTGATTCCATGCCAGCCAATTCAGGAGGTATAGTTTCCAAGAGATTTGAATTACAATCCAAATGCTTCAATCCTGTAATATATATTCAGTGAAAAACAAAAATACTCTAAAAGATAAAAAGAAAAAATTAGTTTCTGCTCATATACAACTTTAAAGAATGTGTAAGAAATTGCTATAAGGACTTAGGAACCTGTGCCATATCACTAAGAATACTCAAACACCATTGAATTAAATAAACGTAAATTTTTTATATTTAATTATAATTAAAGAGAAATAGTAATACTGAAATTATTATTTGGGCCAGGTGTGGTGGTCACACCTGTAATCCCAGCAATTTTTGGGAGGCCCAAGGTGGACAGATCGCTTGAGTTCTGGAATTCAAGACCAGCCTGGGCAACATATAGTGAGACCTTGTCTCTACTAAAAATTAAAAAAAAAAAGTAGCTGAGCATGGTAGTGCATGCCTGTAGTCCCAGCTACTGGGGGTGTTGTGGCAGAAAGAATGCTTAAGCCAGGGAGATTGAGGCTGCACTAAGCTATGATTATGTTATTGCACTCCAGCCTGCGCAATTTAATAATAGTCCAGGTCATCTTCGTAATACATTTAAAAATAAAGTTCTGGTACTCTGTTAAAGTACAACTAAATGTACTCTGTGTAACAGCTGAAAAGTATCACTGTCATGGCTGAGAAACAGAAAGCATCTGATCATTAATAAATAACATTGGATACTAGAAAAATTACTATAAACTCAAAAGTATTTTTCAGTTGATTTATCTATACGTTCCTAACTCTCAAGATATTTCCAGCCAGGTGCGGTGGCTCACGCCTGTAATCCCAGCACTTTGGGATGCTGAGGCGGGCGGATCACCTGAGGTCAGGAGTTCGAGACCAGCCTGACCAATATGGTGAAACCCCATCTTAAAAAAAAAAAAAAAAAAAGATATTTCCACTCAATTTATGAAAAAAGTCCATGCTGCTTATATCTTCATTCTAGATATCATATTTTACACTTAGCTGCTTTTTATTTTTATTGAAAACAATGACAAATGCAGCAAAATCTTAACCATTGGCTCCCAGGTAAAGACTCCCCTAAAATGTCAATTTGATTTAGGGCAGATTTAACTCACTTTAAAACTCCAATTTTAAGCAATGAATAACTATTAATATAAAGCAAAACAATACAATTTTAGAAATTTACCTCAAAATTATCTGCAATTGAATGCATGAAATTGACTTGCCCCACAAAAGGGAGGTTTTTAAAATTGAAGAAGGCTTACAAATGATCAGCAAAAACAAAACAAAACAAAACAAAAAAAAAACAACAACAAAAGCTGCTAACCCTCAACCAAGAAATAATAACAAAATAACAGTTTGTATGTATGTATGTATGTATATATGTATGTACATATTTGAGAGAGAAGAGATCTCACTATGTTGCCCAGGCTTGAATGGAGTGGACACTCAAAGGGGCAATTCCACTATTGATCAGATGGGAGTTTTGACCTGCTCCATTTCTGACCTAAGCTGGCTCGCCCCTCTTTAGGCAACCTAGTGGTCCCTCACTACAGGAGGTCACCATATTGATGCCGAACTTAGTGTGGACACCCAATTGGCATAGCGCACTACAGCCCAGAACTCCCTGGGATCAAGTGATACTCCTGCCTCAGCCACCTGGGTAACTGGGACTATAGGCACATGCCACAGTGCCTGGCAATAACAGTTTCTTTAAACAAATAAAATATCACTAATGATTTTAAACTGTAAGAATCCTATGATGAAGTATACTAACTTAGAAGGTACTAAAATGTACCTTGAATTTTTTTATCTCTTAATACTGGTTCTATATTACTTCAAATATTATGGTTTGATGGCAAACTTTATTAGAACCAATAAATTTTGACATTTTGTTTTTTTCAAAAAATATTGACAATCTGGGACCTCAGACAAAACAAGACTTATTTCCCGACATTATTACTTATGGACCATGAGGAGGCTACAGCTATTATACAACTACATATCACAGGTAGATTCACCTGTAAGAGGGGAATAACCTCTTTATGAATGTTGAATTAATGAATGAAGAGACAGTACAGCTTAGGTATATGATCCTACTACAACTAATCATATTTTCCTATTTTTCATATGCCTAAGTATCTTTATATTGGTAATTCTTTAGGCGGTTGATACATCATAATGGTCTGGAGAAAATCTGACTAGTTGCTATTGTTTGCATTTACCACCATAAAAATCTACTACTTTAGCTCTCTATAACTACATTAAAAATTATTTTCTAAATACAAGTTGCACCAACTTCAAATTTATGTACTATGTAAAATAGAAAATATTTACTTTTCATTCTATTTATTTCTGCTGGCAAACTCTTCAGTTGATTACTAGAAAGATTGAGTCGCACCAGACTGGACAGAGAAGAAAAACTAGCAGGAACAGTTGTAAGACGATTGTTTGAAAGATCCTTTAAAAAGAGGAAGACAAAATAAATGAATAAGTAAATAAAAAAAAAAATGCCCTAAAGAGAATTTCAAAGTTTTGAACGAATTACAACATAAAAGAGACTACTTAAGAAGTGATAAGTTTTGTATAACCCTCATTCACTGAAAATTTCACAGATCATCATTCATTTCAATATTCTTTTTCAATATCTGCAGGCCCACTATACGTTCATCAATGGTAGTAGACAGCATATTAATGAATTCTAACTTCAAAAATATTTTACGTAATGGTTACTGTTAAAACTAAGTCATGCCATATTATGCATCATATTTTCAATGCAAAAATTCATTTGTTCATCCAATATTTATCGAGTACCTATGAAGAATTAGGCATACTATTAACTATCACATGAAATGAAAAACATCTTTGCAAGAAAGAAGACTTTCTTAGAAAAGGAAAAATAAAGCTGAAAAAATGGTCATTCATATTTTTGAGGGAAAAAAGTATTTTCTGTTGGTTCTTCCGCTGACCTCAGCAAGTCACATCTGACTGGACCAGAAGTCTATCTTCTCTCTTCATACACTCAAGGTTGTTTAATTAATCTCTATACCTCAATGTTTCCTTAAATCATTATGTTTCTGTTTTTTCTTTAAATAATTATAAGAGAACTTTTTTTAAAAAACTCCCTTTAAGGAGGGGAGCACTACACATTGGGGTCAGTTGTGGGGAAATAGGGGAGGGAGGGTGGGGGGGGAAGCTGGGGAGAGATAGCAAGGGGAGAAATGTGAGATGTAGGTGATGGGGAAGAAGGCAGCAAATCACACTGCCATGTGTGTTCCTATGCAACAATTTTGCATGTTCTTCACATGTACCCCAAAACCTAAAATGCAATAAAATAAATAAACGGGGAAAAAAAAATAAATAAAATAAAAAATAAAAAAAAAACTCCCTTTAAAAGACATTGTTATGGTCAGGTAATTTTTATAACCCTCAAATTAGGTGCAAAGTGTTCCACTAAATAGCAGCACAGTGTTAAGTAGTGTTAATGGCAACAATAAAAAAGAAAAAATGACTTAAAGTAAAACCATTCTCTGAAGAGTTTAATTTAATATCACATTAAACAATTTAGCAGTAAATCATTTAATCTAACAGTAACATTTTGTAACTCTGACGAAACTGAGAAGATGGAAAAAGGTAAAAATACTGGATGAAATCTTTTTTTAAAATGTAGTCATAATTATTTTATAATAACAATATATTATCATAATCAACAACATACAACATAACATACCCTATAACCCTAATACTAAAAACTCTAAAAATCAAAAGACTGCTAATAAATAAGTATTTTGTAATATCAAAAGTTACTGACACTAAATGCAATGTGGTATCCTGCACTGGACTCTGAAACAAAAACAAGGATATTAATGGAAAAACTAAGAAAATCTAAAGTCTGCAGTTTAATTAGTATTGTACCTATGTGAATTTCTGAGAGTTTACAAGTATCCAGTGGTTATATCAAATATTAGTAAAAAGCTGGATGCAGGGTATATGAGAAATCTTTTACTATATTTGCTTTCCTATAAACCTAAAATTATTCCATAATGAAAAGCCTAAAATAAAGTTACTAATGAAAAACTTAATTCAGAAATTTTCAAAGTATTTTTTAAAACCCAAATAATTCTAATAAACTCCCCTGTAAATTCTAAATGAAATTACTAATGAAGTTGAACAATTACTGCAGTTAGTAATTGTTAGATATAAAACATAAATACACTCTATATAAATTAATCTATATGTATGCCAAGTCATTCCCTTAACAAATATTTCATTAGCCGCATTGTGCTAAGCAGTTTTTATATAACTTTAAGAAATTACTTTAAATTATTATAGGTTTAATCCATTTTAATATATTGTTGCTCACATTTATGTTTTATTTGATACTGAGTCTGTAAAACATAATTCTGAAATGAAACTTCCTTTCATTAAGCAAATGAGTCTCTGGGAACAGGTAAGGTGGATAGTAGAAATTTTATTTAAATTTTCCTTTCAGCTTTCAACTCCAAATGGACTCTTCTTTAAATCAACTGCTACCTTTTACCACCAATTTTTATAAGAAAATCTGATGGCTTCCTCCTTTGCCACTCATTTTATCTACCTATTCCTTTTCTTTCCAAACCTAACTCCAATCTGAGCCAAACTTATTTCCAATCTTTTCCAAACTTATTTCCAATCTGATCATATGGAAAAACAAGAAGACACTGAAGGAATGGTTGAGAAGAGTACATATTTTGATTTTTAAACACTAGAGCAAATGAGGGAAATATCAAGGAGGATGTACACACAGCCAAAATAGAAGTAAAAGGAGTAATTTCTTCCTTTAATGAAAAACAGAATTTAAGGCTAAAATGACAGGAGTTTTCCAAAACATGTAAAAAGGAAAGAATAACAATGCAATATTAATTAACTATGTGGAGTAGATATTATATATTAGTACCTTTGATTCGATACAGCTAAAGTCTTTCAGATGGTATAGCCTACAGTGTAATCTTACTCCTTTGGTCGTAAAATGGAAAAAAAGAGATGGATGCACTTTGGAGTCAAACTGACTTCAAATTCTAATGTTCTTAGTTATTAGTCAAGTTACAAATTTTCTTTTCTCTCTCTTTCTCCCTTTCTGTCTGTTTTTCTTTCCTCTTTCTTTTTTTTTGAGACAGGGTCTCCTGTCACCCAGGCTGGAGTGCAGTGGCTCAATCATGGCTCACTGAAGCCTCAACCTCCCTGACTCAGGCAACTTCCCTTCCTCAGCTTCCTCAGTAGCTGGGACTACAGGAATGTGCCACCACACCTAGCTAATTTTTGTATTGTTTATAGAGACAGGGTTTGCTATGTCTTCCAGGCTGGTCTCAAACTCCTGGGCTCAAACAATCCACCCACCTTGGCCTCCCAAAGTGATAGGATTACAGTCACAAACTACCACACCCAGCTCCAAATTTCCTTTTTATATGTTTTACTTTCTTATTATATTTAGGGGATAAAACTACCTACCTTGCAATATGTAACACTCAAAGAGAAATGCCTGTTGTTTTTATTATTCTTAATAATACGACTAGGTGAGCCATGGTGGCTCATGCCTATAATCCCAGCACTTTGGGAGGCCAAGGCGGGTGGATCATTTGAGGTCAGGAGTTCAAGACCATCCTGGCCAATACGGTGAAACCCCATCTCTACTAAACACATAAAAATTAGCCGGACAGTAGTGGTGCGTGTCTGTAATCCCAGCTACTTGGGAGGCTGAGGAAAGAGAATCACTTGAACATGGGAAGCGGAGGTTGCAGTAAGTGAGATTGCGCCACTGCACTCCAGTCTGGGCGACAGGGTGAGACCCTGTCCCAAAAAAATAAAATAATAATAATATGACTAAAATTAACATTTGTATTGTTTTATGTTTGTCTCTATTTAAGTGAAACAAAAGAATTAAAATTTTGCCAGGAAGTGTGGTCATTTTGAAAAGCAGAGAAGGCAGACCTTTAATGAATTACCTGGACACTCAGAGGGCAGAAGAGTCACAGGTAATATAAAGAAGGAAATGGAAATGGGCATAGAAAAGAAATTGGTATATGCTAAAGACAACTTTGCTCTATTCTGCTAGGAGGTAAAAGACTCTGAATAACAAAGTAATCTTCATTGCGCCTTTCCTACACTCTTCCTAAATTAAAACTTAAAGTTGATTTCATAATATAGGAAAACCAAATTTGCAATGATAAATTTAGCAATGTAACTGAAATGCACATTTCTGATAATCTACTCATAAAATCAGCTGTCCATGTTCTCACAGTTTCAATCACATATCTAATTTCTCAGCCTGATGAAAAATCCAACCAGCCCCAAATTATACAAAAATTGGAAAATCACAACTTACTAAATCTTCTAAATTGGAAAGTTGTTCAAATCCTTCTGATATACAAATTAGTTCATTATGCTGGAGGTACAGCCACTTCAGGTTTCTTAGGTTTGTAATTTCTTCGGGGAGTATTTTCAGTTTGTTATGGCTATTGGTTGATTAAAAAATGATGAATAATTTAGTGGCAATACAATAAATATTTATCAAAGACATTTCTTGCTAACCAATGACACCAGACTCATAAAAATCAAATATAGTTACTATAAGTACATATCAAAATTCATATCCAAAAATATGTACCTTTAAAATAACAGTAATCTAAAGTAATCACATTGGGGTTTCAAAGAAAAATAACCAAGAAATAAAGGCTTTTAACCAAACATGAGTAATTTGTTATTTTTTTCATTGCTTGCTTATAATCAACTCTTGATTGGACATGCAATGTGAAGGGACATACTAGACTCTTAATTTGTTATTCTGTGATATGCTTTGGCTATGTCCCTACACAAATCTCATCTTGAATTGTACTCCCATAATTCCCACATGTTGTGGGAGGGACCCAGTGGGAGATAAAATGAATCATGGGAGCAGTCTCCCCCATACTGTTTTCATGATAGTGAATAAGTTTCACGAGATTTGATGGTTTTATCAAGGGTTTCCAATTTTGCAACTTCTTCATTTTTCTCTTGTTGCTGCCATGTAAGAATGCCTTTTACCTCCCACCATGATTCTGAGGCATCCCCAGCCATGTGGAACTGTAAGTCCAATTAAATCTCTTTTTCTTCCCAGTCTCAGGCATGTTTTTATCAGCAGCATGAAAACAGACAAATATATAACTGATTTTTAGAATTTTGACAAAACTATATGCACACATATACTACAATGGAGTTACATCTTATACGGATATTAGGCTTTAAGGCAAAAAATAGCTATTTCTGTTTGAGGACCTAGCATGTCAAGTTGAATGTAATATGCAATTTCACTCTTCTTCATACTTGCTCTTTTCAGTTGAGCCTTTCTGTAAAGATATTCAGCTTAATGGTTTAGAAGTCCCAAATCATGGAGATGATACACTCCGTGATAATTAAGAGATAACTGAACTAGTTCCCAGGTTTACCACAACTTAAATATTCATTTATGAATTCCATGCTATTTTCATTCCATATACAGTTACTTTACAAGTAACAGGGGGAAAATGAGAAATATAAGGTGCTTACAATAACCCTAAATTACACTAAAATAAAACTAGTTGGGACAAAAAATGTCAAAAGGTGTCTTCCAAAACAAGAACCAATAATATTGTTAAGTCAGGTACTATTATTGGTTACTTAGCTAAAATCTTTGCACACTTGATAGGGATCTAACTGGACAGAGATGTAATTTTAGCTATACATTTCCTCCACCTCCTTTTCTTACCTAATTATTCCATCCTAAGATTCATATTCTTTTTTTTTTTAAAACCTCTTCACTGAGAACACACCTACATACTGTACTCTTAAGTATAGAATCTAAAGCTTAAGCCACGTCACTCAACAATTGCTGCCTCTTCTCTTCCTCTCAACTCTCTCCACTCTTGTCCTTTACAGGCCACATCTATGCCTTTGACTTGTAAGGGGGAGATACTCTGATGGAGTTCTAAATAATGAGCGCCTTTTCATGTATATGTATTTTTGCTGACTAATGGTAATTTTAGTTTCCCACCAAATTAGGACTGTTACTTGGCACAACTATTTTCCCTCAAACCAGTTAGCTTACCGCCAGAAAACAGACTTGACTATATTGTTACATAGATCTGCAACTGTATCTATTTTATAAGCCATAGTTTTTCAAACTATGCTTTAAGTTCATAAATCATTTATTTCTACTTCAAAATAAAACCTCTTTAAGTCTCCTTTCCCATAGCTTATGTCTATAAACAAACATAAGGCAAAGTCATTTCTTCTTAAAATTCTGGGTATGTATCAAAGGGCAAACAGAGTTAGCTAGAATCTTTGCCCTACTGAGGGCAAACAGTTATCTAGAACCTTTGCTACCTATTCTAGCTATAGAACCTTTGTACCAGTATATCCACGACAGTTAAAAAAATATATCCACAAAACCCCAGGAGTCCTTGGAGAAGTTTAAAAATGACTACTAATAAAAACTATGAAATACTTCATTTATAAAAGATTTGTTTTACATTTCTTCCTTATTGTTTAGGCATTTTTTAGAATATCAAAGTAACTTAAAAGTTGAGATGTCAACAAAGAGGTTTACTAAAATAACCACTAAGAATTGTTTCATAAAAGAAAAAAATTTTAAGCATTTAAAAAAAATCAACTGGCCATACATTTGTAAAACCAGAAAAGATGGGGGTAATGCTAACATGAACAAAGAAAAAAAATACAAACGAAGCATTAAAGCTTTTTAAAAAAAGAATTAAAACGTAAAATTCTTATCCTGCTTTAACCACTTTCTGAGATAATTCAAAGATGTTTTTTAATGTTAAATAAATTTAAAGACTATTATATTTACTGCCTCTTCTCTTCCTCTCAACTCTCCCCACTCTTGTCTTTACAGGCCACATTTATGCCTTTGACTAATAAGGGAACGATACTCTGATGGAGTTCTTAATAATTAGCACATTTTTATGTACATATTTTTTTGCTGACCAATGGTATGTTCATGTTTTCCACCAAATAAGGACTGTTGTTACTTGGAGGGACTATTTTCCCTCAAACCAGTTAGCTTACCTCCAGAAAACTCACACTTGGCTATGTTATAAGAGCAATAACAGAAATAAATAAGCTTAATTTTTACCTGATATTAAGTTTCTGAAGATTTGCTAGCTCTCTTATAGCAGAAGGAAGGGATGTCAGCTGATTATCATGTATCTAAAAGTTTTTAAAAGACAAAGTTGATAGTCTTATCATTAACAATATATAAGCTTTGCCAGTGTACAAAACTATTAGTCAATAATCTCCTATTCTTCAAATTCAATGGCAACAAATTGAACTACAGAACTACTATTCTACATACTTGTTCTGTATGTAGAACAGTTTGAAGATGACAAAACAGCTGTTCAGAAATCATGAAGTGAGGCCAGGCACAGTGGCTTGCACCTGTAATCTCAGCACTTTGAGATGCCGAAAAAGACAAATCGCTTGTACCCAGGAGTTTGAGACTAGCCTGGGCAAATTCGTGAAACCGTGTCTCTACAAAAAAAATTTTTTTAAATTAGTCAGGTGTGGTGGTGCACACCTGTAACCTCATCTACTCAGGAGGCTGAAGTAAGAAGATCGCTTGTCTAGGAGGTCAAGGCTGCAGTGAGCTCAGATTGTGCCAGTGCACTCCAGCCTGGGCTACAGAAGGAGACCCTGTCTCAAAAAATACCTGGGCTACAGAGTGAGATCCTGTCTCAAAAAATAAAAGAAAGAAAGAAAGAAATCATGAAATGTTAAGTCATCCACTTTAAATATTATACTAAGAAAAATTTCAACTCATTGAGTAGAATTTCAGTTTCAAAGAAGAGATGAGGCAGTCAGAAACTAAAAACAGCTCTCTGATGATAAGATTTATGTCAATATATACAAAAATTATATGAGAAAAGAGAGAGGGACTTTTCTCATGTTCTCACAGAATCATATTTTTTAAGGTAGGAAGAATCTTAGAGTAAGCCAATCCATTCATTTTACAAATAATGAAAATAAAAAGTTCCCTAAAAATTAATCTATTTTGATTCTATTTTTCTACACACGAATTGGAGAATTTTCTTATGTTGATAAGTAAAGCATAGCGGAAGCCTGCAGATTCTGAAATATACACTTCATGCTTCACTTTACCACAGGACATGGCAACAAAAAACTAAAAAGAATCCCTAAATAAAAACACAAAAATTTAAATTCAATAACTTAACTCAATGAGGTTGAAGGCAAGTCATATATATATATACGACAGAGAGCTGTTTATATATATATACATAAAATGTTATATATATATTATATATACATATAAACACATCAGAGAGCTGTTTATATATATATAATATTATATATATATAAAACTTTATATATATATATATATATATATATATATATATAACTTGCCTTCAAACAGCTCTGATGCTTTAATATATATAAAACATTATATATATATCTATATATAACTTGCATATATATATATATAACTTGCATATATATATATATATATAGAGAGAGAGAGAGAGAGAGAGAGAGAGACTTGCTTTAGTGTCTAGAATAATAATGATAAAAATAGTAACAAATAGGACAGGTGCAGTAGCTCATGCATGTAATCCCAACACTTTGGGAGGCTGAGGCAGGAAGATAGTTTAAGGCCAGGAGTTCAAGACCAGTTTGGGAAACACAGTGAGACCCTCGTCTCTACACACAAAAAAACAGCTGGGTGGCCAGGTGCTGTGGCTCACGCCTGTAATTCCAGCTCTTAGGGAGGCAGAGGTGGGAGAATAGTTTGAGTCCAGGAGTTTGAGACTTGCCTGGGCAATAAAGCAAGACCCCATTCTCCACAAAAAGGAAAAAAACAAAAAAAGACAAAAAAAAAAAAAAAAGCAAAAAAAAAAGGAAAAATCAAAAAAAAAAAAAAAAAAAAAAAAAAAAAAAAAAAAAAAAAAAAAAAAAACAAAAAAAAAAAAAAAAAAAAGCTGGGTGTAGTGGCGTGCACCTATAGCCCCAGCTATTTGGGAGACTGAGGCAGAAGAATGGCTGGAGCCCATAAGTTCAAGGCTGCAGTGAGCCACAATCACACCACTATTTTGCCTGTGCAAAATAGTAATAATAAGAACAAAAAAATAAGCAGAAATAACCACTTGTTGAATATTGATTCTGTTTGTATTCATTAACTCATTTAATTCTACAAACAAATTTTTTAAATAGGTAGTACTAGCAGTATTGGTTTACAGATGTGGAGACTAAGGTACAAAGAGGTGACTCTCCCAAAGTCACAAAGCTATTTAGTAGCAAAGTCAGAATTATACGCTTGGTGTTCTGATCCTGCACTTTTAACCGTTATGCTATGCCTAGCATAATAATTTATTATCCGTCCTTGCATTCTACCAACTACACATGAAAGGTTTTCTGCTATCAAAGCCTAAATTTAGCTTCATAGTCTCTTCAATTAATATCCGTATTTACAGTCAGTCAACTTACATCGAGAACAGTCAGTGCAGGCAGGAGTCGTAGGTCATCTGTAAGTGACTGAAGTTTATTGTTTGATATTATTAGTTTGGTCAAATCCGTCTGCTCCCACCATCTTTCAGTGGCACCAAATGAAAGATTCTGATTAGCTTCCTCAGGGATATCAACATTTATTCTCCAGACACACTGTGGCACTAGTTCCACCAGCACCACAGCAGGAAAAGAAAAAAGAAAAAAAAAAAAGATGAAAACAAGAACTAGATATTAAGTGACATGCTTTTACAATAGCCATTCCATTTATCTACTGAAAAACATTTTCTAAAACAAAATTAGTCAAATAGCGATAATTATAACTAGAGTGAAAGTTGATTTTATTTAAAAAGACTATATACTGATAATACGTCCTCTACATATTAGCTCTCACTTTAACCCTCATTCAACTATGTTTACTAGGTTTATATACACTGCACAGCACATACACTGCAGAGCACAATATGGTAAGTATATAAGACAAAGAATCCATTCTACCATCAGGTTAACAGTTTAACAGAGAAGGCATGGAAATCAACATTTATATGTAATAACTTTTATAACAGAAGAATAGACTAAGGCTCAGAAAGAACTAGTAATAATAGCTAACACTTACAGATATTTCTAACATACTAATTCATTTAAGCCTTGGAACAATTCTGCAAAGTAGGTGTTATTAGTATTCCCAATCTGATGGATGAGAAAAATTGAGCACAAAGAAAATGTATAATTTGGCCAGGGTTACAAAGTTAGTCAAGTATCACAGATGTGACTCAATCCATGGCAGTGACATATCGTTTTGCTTTCCATTAATATTTGGGAGAAATATCTGACTCTGGTAACTACTATCTATTTTATCTAACATATAATTTTATTTCTTATGGCACCACACAACACCGTGTTACGCTATTACAGCAAATGACAACACCTGTATAGAAAATAAGACTGTACAAACTGAGCAGGAATAAACTGAAGCTCCAAAGGTGGAACGCTGTAATGTTGTCGCAAAACTATTTTAAATAGAGTCCTTCGCTCCTCGTTAAACGTAGGACTACATATAGGGATGTTGTAGAACTTCAAGCTGGTATTAATCTAGGCAAAAATTGGTTATACCTTGCTGCCACTATCATTTCAAAACCATCAGAGATTAACAGAAAGGTATAGTCAAAGTTTCAGATTCAGGACACTTAAGTGCAGTTTTGGATGATTAATCGGATAAAATGGTGTTGCAGAAGCAAAGCCAAGTCCCTGAAAGGTACGAGACTTATACTCACTTGAAAAATAAGCTAGCCAGGTATAGTGGCTCAGGGCTATAATCCCTGCACTTTGGGAGGTTAAGGTGGGAGGATCACTTGAGGCCATGAGTTTGAAACCAGCCTATGCATCAAAGCAAAACCCTAGCTCTTAAAAAAAAAATTAGCTGGTGTGATGACACACACCTGTAGTCCCAACTACTTGAGAGGCTGAGGCAGGAGGACTGCCTGAGCCCAGGACTTCGAAGTTCAGTAAGTAACTGTGATCACACCGTGGCACTCCAGCCTGGGAAACAGAGTGAGACCCTGTCTCTAANAGAAGAAAAACAATGAGCTATCTACATTCATATTAAAATAAATTATAAGGTACCTCTCTTACTCCTTATGTTTGATTAGGTATTCTCCACTTTATTCTTCTACTACTAAATTTCCATTAAGTATTAACAACATAGAACATGAATCTCCCTCTGTTTCTGTTTATGGATGGAGGTTTATTTTTAAAGTGGGGCCAAATAAAATATCTTCGCCATTCTTGACTAATTTGCGAGCCAAAGCACCACACAATGTATCATCATCATTATTATTTTGGTATGTAGGTATGGATAATTAGTTGAGTGGGAACGAGAAACAGAGATCAGCCAAGTAATTGGCATGTGAATTTACTGACAACAAAGCAACCAACAGAAATGTGGTCACATATATATTTGACTAAAAATAAATGTGACTCTTGAAAAAAAAAAAAAAAAACCTACTGATGTGCCATATAGTATGGGTCACACACAAAAAGCTCCAGACTAAAAAAGGCAAGATAAAACACAATACAAAAAACACTAAAGAAGAAGATATATAGAAAAAGCTATGTGAGATGCACAATTCTACTCCTAAAGATGTTACATAGAATATTTGTGTGTGCATTATTTTCTGACATCTATACATGGGTACATTAAAGCCATTCATTATATCTAAAAAGCACTGTAATGACAAATGTCTTTTTTTGGATGGAGAAAGGTGGGATAACAAGAAATTTGTATACAACATAATAAAAATACCTGTTACCTACTCATCAACTACACTAAATGGGTATTAATGTTTTATTATTATTATTCAGATATTTTTGTTAACAAGCTTGGTCATTGTGGGAACTATCAAGGGGCAGATACATGTTGATATTATACTGTTATTGAACATAGATCCAGTTGCTTTTCCACAATTACTTACTACTCATTCTTTTCACCATTAATTGTCTTTAAGGTATCCCAATTTCCTCCAGAGCTTATGACATCAAGATTCATGTCACTGTTGCAACTGTCCCATAAGAAACCACTAAAAAGCATATATAGTCTTAATTGTTAAGAAATTCTGTGGAGCTACAATTAGTTTACTAATATCTAAAATAGAAACTACCAATGTAAAATTGAATGTCAATAACATACAAATATGAAAAAATTATTATGGAGTTGGATATTGTATACAATTTCAAACATATACATAAATTTAAAGAGTAGTATAATGAAGTCAGGTAATGTAATGCCTCCAGCTTTGTTCTTTTTGCTTAGGACTGCCTTGGCTCTTTGGGCTTTTTGGATCCACATGGATTTTAAAATTAGTTTTTTCCTAGTCCTCTGAAGAATATAATCCGTAGTTTGGTAGGAATATCACCGAATGTGTAGGTGGCTCTGGGCAGTATGACCATTTTAATGATATTAATTCTTCCTATCCATGAGATGTGATGTTTTTCCATTTGTTTGTGTTACCTCTGATTTCTTTGAGCAGTGTTTTGTAATTCTCATTGTAGAGATATTTCACCTCCCTGGTTAGCTGTATTCTGGTATTTTATTCTTTTTGTGGCATCTGTGAATGAGATTGCCTTCCTGATTTGGTTCTTTGCTTGGCTGTTGTTGGTATATAGAAATGCTAGTGATTTTTGTACATTGATTTTTGTATCCTGAAACTTTGCTGAAAAGGGAACACTTACACATTGTTGACAAGAGTGTAAATCCGTTCAACCATTTTAGAAAGTAGTAGAGTAATTCCTCAAAGAGCTAAAAACAGAACTACCATTTGACTCAGCAATCTTATTACTGAGTATAAACCCAGAAGAACATAAGTTATTCTATCATAAAGACACATGCATACAAATACTCATTGTAGAACTATTCACAATTGCAAAAACATGAAATCAACCTAAATGCCCATCACTGACAGACTGGATAAAGAAAATGTGGTACATATACACTATGGAATACAATGCAGTCATAAAAAAGAACAAGATCATGTCTTTTTCAGGAAGATGGAGCTGGAAGTTATTATCCTTAGCAAACTAACACAGGAAAAGAAAACCAAATACTGTATGTTCTCACTTCTAAGTGGGAGTTAAATGATGAGAACTCATGAACACAAAGAAGGGAACAACAGACACTGGGATCTTTTTGAGGGTAGAGGGTGGGAGGAGGGAGAGTATCAGAGAAAAGTAACTACTGGGTACTAGGCTTAGTACCTGGGTGATAAAATAATCTGTATAACATACCCCCGTGACACAAGTTTATCTGTATAACAAACCTGTACACGTACCCCTGAACCTAAAATAAATGTTTAAAAAAAAAGTATAATGGAATAAAACTCCATGCATCTATTGCCCAGTTTTAACAATTATCAGCACATGACTAGTGTTGCTTCATCTATAACCCCATCCCACAATGATCTAAGCTATAATTTTAGGAACATAGAAAAAAGAATTAATTAAATCCAAAGAAAGTGGAAGCAAGGAAATAAAAAGTAGAAATCAATGAGACAAAAACAAAAAGTAATAAAAAATACTTATTTAAAAAGATTAATAAATTGATAAACCCTTAGCTAGACAGACAAAGAAAGAAAAAGAAGAAACAAATTATCAAAATCAGGAATCAAAGTGACAATATCATTATAGATCCTACAGATGTTAAAAGAATAAGGGTATATTATGAACAACTTTATGCTAACAAATCCAACAACTTGGATAAAATGGATAAATTCCTGGAATAGGATAAAAAAAGCACAACAGTAACAGAAAGTAGCCTTGCATGTATTAAAGAAATTGAATTAACTATTTAAAACTTCCCACAAAGAAAATTCCGGTCAGACATTTTCTTTTCCTTTTTTTTTTTTTTTTTTTTTAATTTTGTTTTTTTTTTTTGAGATGGAGTTTTGCTCTTGTTGCCCAGGCTGGAGTGCAATGGCACGATCTCGGCTCACTGTGATCTCGGCCTCCCGGGTTCAGGCAATTCTTCTGCCTCAGCCTCCTGAGTAGCTGGGATTACAGGCATGCACCACAGAGCCCAGCTAATTTTTTGTATTTTTAGTAGAGAAGGGGTTTCACCATGTTGGTCAGGCCGGTGTCGAACTCCTGATCTCAGGTGATCCGCCTGCCTCAGCCTCCCAAAGTACTGGGATGACAGGGAAGAGCCACTGCGCCTGGCCTAAAGCATTATTTCTAGTTGCTGCTGGAACATTGGAAACCAGAGTGCAGAAGCATCCCAGGGATTTAAAGAATGTCCCCTGCCAGTGGGCAAAGCTTAATCACTGACTTCTGACCCACAGCATGAAGCGTTCCCTTTCTGGGCTCACAGCACACAGCTGTCTTCAGGGCACCAGTGGATGTGCAGATAACAATCACACAGATTGTCTGGAATGTTTCAACAGAACCAGGGCTTGCAACATGGTGCTGGACAAAAAAACCCCAATTCTGCATCCGAGAAAGGGCGATATTTAAAAAAATTACTCATGAATGAGTGAAAACATTCTGAATAGAACATTCAGAGTCAAGTTTCTATAGAATCTCAAGTCTGATTAATGAAGATTGAAAATGACCTCTCCAAAGACTTTAAAAACAGTCCAGATGACCAGCGTTTGTTAAAGTGTGGAGTTAATTCTGC